GAAAAAGCCCACTCCAGATGTTTGGCATTAGTGATCGTGTTTGAGGAGGATGGACTGGTTTTTAGTGACGCCCACTATCTCCCTCCCCCAATTCCTGTCTGCTGCTGGAACAGGAAATGGGTTTTGGGCTCAGTTCAGCTCCTGTGCTGTGCCTCTGGCTCTCACACAACACACTGTGGTTGTGTGTTTGTCTGTGAGAGGGACAAGAATGCTCCACCGTGTGTGTTCCTGAGCCAGGCTACATGCCTTTCATCTTCGGTTGCTTTCTTGCCCTAAATCGTACACTGTTCTCATACACTTAAAGGGGTAGTTCACCCAAAAATGAAAATGATGTCATTATTATTTAACTTACTGTTGTTTCATGTCTGTGTAATACAAAAATGAGAAATTTTGAAGAATGTGCTTGTCGCTCCACATTTCTATATATTTATGTCTATATAATCAAGAGAATTAAAAAAAAACCAGGATGATCACAGAAATAATGTGAAGTAGTTAAGTAAATAATAATTTAAAAAAATCTTATTCTTATACTTATTCTTATGCTTATTATTTTAGGCAAACATTTTGTTTAAAAAATGTCTTATAAAAACAGAATTCAAAGTCAAGTCAGGAATATTCCTTTTCTGATTCTCACATAACCCCTAGCTGTGTGTTTGTCTGGCGTGACAGCATTGATTTAAGATGTTCCATCATGTTCAATCTTATGGTGGTTATTAGGGAATGATATAATCTATGCATACTTGTCACTCTTCATATGAGCAGTGTCAGAGCAGACTGCATCAGACGAAACAGCCTTCATCTCGGTTGTGTTTGACGTACGTCAGCAGTTTCTTCTCTGATCAGCTGCAACACAGAAGATATGGACTATTAGCTGAAGTGCTGTGCGTGCGTTTCTGACCTAGCTGTATTTTTGGGACAATATTTCTGAAACTTTCCCTACAACTGAGTATCTTATAGTCATTATAAGTAACTTAATTTATAAACAATAAAAGTATGCACTTAAAAATAGTTATTTAATAGTCGTTTGCAACTTTGTCTCAGACATGTCTCCTAAAATAGAAGTAAAACAGACCCACATGAAAGAGTTGTTGGTATAGAGTAGGAGTAAAGATTCACAATTTACAGTAAGGTTCCATTTGTTAATATTATTTCACTGTGTTAGAATGAACTAACAATGAACAATACTTCTAGTACCGCATTTATTGATATTGAAATTTGTATCTGTTAATGTTAGTCAATGCACTTTGAACTAACATGAACAAATGATGAACAATTGTGTTTTTATTAACTAACATAAACAAAGATTAATAAATGCTGTAAAAATGTGGTCACACTTTATTTTAAGGTCCAATTATCATCATTGTTAGATAATTTCTTTCCTGTAGCTCGAACATTGAAGCATGGCACTATCACAGACAAGGTCATAGGTTCGATTCCCATGAGACTGAGACCTTATAGTAAGTTATGAATATTAGCATATCTCACATAATTTGGTCTTGGGAAACTTTGATGAGAAATGTTTGCATTTACCCTTACATTTAGTAGTTTAGCAGACGCTTTTATCCAAAGCAACTTACAAATGAGG